ACCTATGGCATCTGTTAGATTGATTCTAATATTCTCCAGACTGCAACACTGGTTTCTTTACATTATCTCATTTTTCCAGAAGGAACTTCCTCACATAAATCAGACTCAAAAATTGAGAAAAACTACACTTACACTCTCAGACAGCATATCCTATCAGCAGACATACAGCCAGCAGTATAAGCCAGTTCTGAAAAAAGCAGTATTTCCTGGTGTATATCAAGATGAAAAAAAAAATGAGGGAAGTGTTTGGGGGAGGAAGAGGAAGTTAGGGAGAAGACAACTTACATTTATCTTTTCTCATAGGACAGTATTATGGGTCATGGTCCTTCTGCTTTGTGTTCCTATTACACCAATTCCATCCCATCTTACCTCTGGTGGAGTATGTGGACATCCCATAAATTAAATAATCACTTTGCAGTGAGTTGTGACTGTTTGTGCAGAACACTGACATCCACTAATGCTACGCTAGTGCTTGAGGAAGAGCAGTTAGCTCTATGAACCTGTTTAATATCACTCTTTGAGCACATGAAAAATATCAAAAAAGCCTGTTAGCATATGAGAGTTTACAGATTTCTCTGTAGTGTTCTCCCAGACAGCATTACAGGCAATTTAACCTTGTCTCTACAAAATCTCTAAATTCTTGCTATACTCAAACTAATCCTAAAAAAAAAAAAAAAAAAGTACAGCCAAGCTGGCAATCTGAGAAGCTCTTCCAAGTTCTTAGCCACAGAAAGTCTTTCTAAAGTCTGTGTTAACTTTCATAAGTGGCCACTGCCTTTCCTACGCCAACTCCTGATTTGCACAGTGATATGTATAGTTCCTTGCTTTGATTTCTAAACTTTGCCTATAATTCTTCATTACTAACCAAAAACCCTATCACAACCACCACTACCACCAAACAGCGATTGTTCATGTCCTCCTCCATCTCCAGTAATTCAGAGGTGAGGACACCTAGAAAAGTGTTTCAGTACAGATTCTGCCAGAAACATCTCAGGAGAGAGAACCACTTAACATATATTCAGCATAAGTTAAAGGTAAACCTGCAAACAGATAGTAAAATCCTTCAAGATCTTGCAGGGAACTGAACAATAGCAAGATTGTGAAGACCAAAAAACCCATCTGGGTTTCTGTAGGAAAAGGGTATAGGTATATACAAGTAACAGTAGTCAGCGATCAAATGACTAAATAAATAACATATGTAAAATCTTGCAGGATAAGATGATAAAAATAGCATGGATTTGTTAAGAATAAATAATGTCAAATGCTGAATTATTTGATGGAATAACTAGACTGATGGCAAAGAGGAAAGCAAATGCTACAGCTTAATATTAGTACAACTTCTGACACTATGTCTATAATACGTTACTCTCAAGAAAAGAGCAATGTGGACTAGCTTAAATCAGGAGAGGAGCTTGGTTTGGAAATTGCTGTCAGAATTCTTCATTAATCAGTACTAGTCTAGTTCTAACTGTGTCTTCATCTTTTGATTTCATCAGCTCTGCGTTTTGCCAAACCATTACTGATACTTTATTCCATATGTAATACATTAATAAAAATAAAACATCCATAATTAAGTTAAAGTAATGAAAATGATACCCTCATTTTGAATTTGATGACATTATACATTTCATGACCTTTTTTCCCCTTCCTTGCTTTTGGGTTCATCTTCCATTCCACAGTACCTCCTCCATCTTAACCTGCAAACCCAAAGTTCTTTTACCTTCCAAATGGCATTAAAATCACAGTTATACCACTAAGTGGTTAACTTCTGCTTTCACTAACTTACTTTCAGTTACTGCTGTTTCAGAAAAAAATACCATTTTGTCTGATATCAGATTAATATACAATAACTTTAGATGACCGTCTGCTAAGAACTATGTAGAAACTGAGACTTCGTGTCATGATTTATTATTTACTTTCCTGACTATGCACTCCCTAACTGAAAATTAATTTCTCTCTAAATATCTAATAACATTTTTTTCATTTAAAAGGAAGCTCAAACAGTACTTGTTGATCACATCTGCAATGATGAATTCTGTTCTTTCATATGAATTTGACATCAGCAAGCTAGATTTTTTTTCTTCCATTGTATTTTTCTGGCATGACTATGCGAAGAAGGGAGGTCTAAGTTCATCTGAGCAATATACAAAGGCACTGCATAATAAAAAAAAAAGTGGCATTTTCAGAAATCAACAGTTCAGAAAAAAGATAGTGATTGTTTTCAAATTACTGCACTTCCTGGAAATAATAGAAGCAAGAGATACAAGTCACCTTCTTAAAAGGTAAAGGGAGAAGACATTCCAAAAACACTAAAACAAAAAAAAAACGAAACAAAAACAAAAACACATACACACAATAATTAAGTTAAATACCTAACCAACCACTTAATCTTTTTGTCTTCCAGACGTCTACAATACATGACATATTTTGTGTCCTTATATATCCTTAATACAACAGGCTACATTGTCAGCCTCCTCTGTCATGCAGAGGGGGCAAAGGTTTAAGATCTGATGAGGAAAGACAACCTTCCCTGCCAGAGCACTGATTTCCTCACCATGTAGCATGTCTGCTACAGAGAGGTAGCAGAGGCAGTCTCCTTAGCCTGCACTAGAGCCTGCTAACAATTTTGATGAGGAAATAAGGAACACTGTTTCACCATCTCATCTCTTCAGCACAGCCCAGTAGAAAAACATACCAGGATGGACAACACTCCCCAGAGAAGCTTTTTGCCTTTAATTGTTGCTGTGATGCCTGTAACTGCAGTATTACTGACCTTGTTACTGTCCCCAGCAGACCAAAGGCTAAAAGGGGAAAATACTTACAATAGAGAAAAGGAGGAAAAATGCCTTTGTGTCTCTGAAACATGGCTAAAAAGTTAATTTCAGTGAATACCAGGCCAATAAGCTACAAGTAAATGAACACCTCTTTACTGCTAATTTTTTGCTATTTTACCTTTCATTAAAAAAATAATTCCATCTAAACTCAGTTGAATATCATAAAGCTCTTCATATTTTAAAGCACTTTGGAGCAATTATTTTGAAGGGAGCCCTTGACAGTTAAATGAGTCAGTTAAATGAATGTTATAGGAGATACATAATGATTTTTAGCGAAATATTGAATTTAACCAGAAACGAGGAAAACCAGGCATAAGCACCTTGGTGTATTTGAATAATAATGTCTTGCTTGAGAGTTCAATGGATTTTGTATATTCTAACAATGAAGCTGTTAGCTAGATAGACCAAGCTGAGATTTCTCTCTCTTTTCTTTTTTTCTTTTCTTTACCTTCTTGTTTGATTTTAACCTTTATAAAACATTTCTGCATCCTTTTTTTTTTATTTTAGAAAATCAATATGGATTTCTTTTTTTTTTATGCTTGCAGGTACTGCTGTCACAACTCTTCTACATTTTATTGCAAACACATGATGGTAAAGAGATTTCATTCCTTATATTGAGTATGTCTGCTTGTTTTAATGATAATAATGAGAAACTGAATTAAAAATAAAACAAGCAAACACACAAAACCACAAAATCCAGTGTTTACATGAGGTCCAATATTAGAATTTTGAACAATACAAAACCCCTGTTTAAGTTAAGAGGAAGTTATGTGAGTAAGAATAGGCACACACAGTATAGATTTATTTATCTTAGAACATTATCTCCATAATCCTAATTTCTTAGTTAGCTGCAAAATCTGAAATGGCATCAAGACTTTACATGACTTCATATCATCATATTACAAAACATCACCATATTTAAAATTGTAAGCAGTATTACTGTCAGCCATTTATTTTTATTATTATTATTATTATTATTATGCTTCAGCACAAGAACAAGGCACTGTTCTTCTGCCACTCAAATGCCACCCATTAAAAGATTTTATTTGCGGGAAGAAAAAGGAACGAATTAAAAACAGTCCACTAGGAACGCATTTCCCTGTAGATTTAGAAAGTAAAAGGAAAAACCTCAATGCTGAACAAATGAGGCTGAAAAACAGGGATCATACATACTGAGTTTCTCTGGTGAAATGAGGTGGAAGGTCTGTTTCACAGCAAAAAGGCCAACCACACATATAAAGGCAATATTTATTGGGACCTACAGTCTGCCTAAAGCTTTCAGCTCTCTAGCTGAACACTAAAAACTACCAAAAAAAAAAAAAAGCTACTGAAACCGTCACAACCTGTTAGGAAGCAGAAGATTCAGGTCCAAAACAAAATGATGAGATGAGATCTTTGTTGGGGGATCAACCAAACAAAGCAAAACCCCAGCGGGCTCTGAGCTCCCCCCGGTGCAGGTGCAGGCGCAGGCTGGCAGCGCAAGGCACTGCTGCAGTACAGCACAGGGCGAGGGGCATCGGCGTCATCCCCCCCTGTCCCACGGCACCCCACATGCTCCACGCTGCCTGAAACCGCTGCTACGAGAATACAGCAGAATGAGAAGGAAGGAAGCAAAAGGCAACATGTGGCTTGATACCAGGAGTGCTTGCCACGAGGAGTTACAGTTTTGAATACTGCTGGACATGGGCAGGTATACTGCTCAGAAATCAGAGACCTGACTTTCCCTGGATGATAAACAAAGACAAGAATACTTAGAGTGAGCAATTAAGAAAAACAGAGATAAGAATACTGAAACTGGGCAAATAAAAATATCCTGGAATTTCACACACAAGCTATTTTTCCCCATATCTGGGGAGAGCTTCCACCCTTCCTTTCTCGCCTCCTCCACTTCAGTGTGTTGCAATAAACGTAGCAGTCCGTTTTGCTTTAAAAGTCAGCCACGGTTCAGCGAACAGGCTGACATGCTATTTCATGTGAGAAAAGAAGCTGTGATTTAATCTCATTTCCACTAGCTAGATTCCTAGCTAATGTATCTGGGGATAGTTAAGCCTATGTTCACTGTAAAACATCTGCATTGGCCCTATGCATTTCCACAGAGCATAGGTGAAAAATTAGCTAGGTTTCTTGCACTTGCTAGGCAACAACGGTAAATCTCCATATACTCACAGATGTAGAAATACTCCCGGCCTGGCCTGAACTCAAATCCTAGTGAGAAGGGCGTGAAGAGCTGGAATTTTTCTGAGAACTTCAGCGGTCCATTCGGGGAGTGTGGCCGATTACACTCCCACCTCTTGAACCCTTTGGAGGTGTGATCACAGGAGCTGTAGCCGTCAAAGTTCACCATGTACAGAACATAGCGTTCGGTCTTATCTTCTGGCACTGAATCTTCATAGTGAGGGCAGAACACATCCAGGTAGTCATTGATGCACACGTCGATGTGATAGTCACCCTGCTGGAATCTGAAATCAAAGAAAGAGTTGAGACATAAGCGCAGTTAATGCAGGATGACCTTGTTGCAGGATAATGTTCTCGTAAAGGGGGCATCAGTAATGTCATTTCATTTCACTCTAGCCATGCACATTCACTCTCGAAACTAACCCTTAATATTCACCAGAGCTATCAGAGACTGCTTGTGCAGGACTACAGTTATGTGACTTTCTGGATAAAGGTTTGTTCTTTTTTTCTGACAAAATGAGTTGTCTCTTGCTAACTCACACCAAGTCATAGACTATCTCTCTCTATGTCTTTATTGAATAAACAAAGTCTCTGCTTTTTGTTTATTTATTTATATTTATTAAATTGGAGGGAGAAGCAAGAAGAAACAAAGAAGCCAAAACTGTATTAGCCTCCCCATACCAGTGCCTATATAAACATCTACATGTGCAGAAAAATAAGCAACCCAGACATGCCCTTTTCTGTAAATCAGGCAGTAGTCACCCCTGTATTAAAAGCCGACTTGACTATAAGAACTTATAGTTACTGCAAGAGCACAAACAGGTTTACTTTCTTCATGATTAGCAGCAGTTTGTCAAGACGCAAAGAAAACCCTGTATCGCTTTTTAAAGATATTTGAAAAGCACTACAACTCCTTTGCCAGAAGTACATACTGGAGACATTGCTCTGCTCAGATAAAAGGATTCTGGGATACGAATTATCAGCTCTCAGCCTAAGGTGACAGGTCTGAATAAATGCCAGCTGAGAAATGCAGCACAAGGCCCCAGCCCAGATGCACTTTATTATTATTACTATTACTGAGGAGTCCTCAGAGGCGTGGGATTTTTGTTTTGTTGGGGATGTGTATGTGTTCTTTTTCCCTCCCTCCATGTTTCCCGTACATTACTTTTCTAATGCCTGACGTAGAATCTGGAAGAAACTATGGGAACAAATTCACTGCTTCCATGGGAGCTTATACTGTGATGGATTTAATGATTCCATAAAGCAGGTCTGTACGTCTATCAAACTCCCTGGGGCTGCAAAAGAAACCAACCACTGACCTGCTCCACATCAGGCAACTGGGCTACTTGTAGTTCCTCTCTTTCGCGGCTGCAGTTGTCAAGTGTACCACACAGCAATAAAAAGGCCATGACAGATTTAACTATAATACTTCTTTTTAGCTGAGGGGCATATTTTAAACACCTGATGGGCTTGAAATCTGCCATCTGGAGCCTTCTATCTAATTTCAGAGAAAAAGCAATGATCTGCTGGCCCTCCAAGGATAAATTCAGAGCATACTATACCTTTTCATATCCCTACAATAATTTAGCTTCAATAAAATAGCTTTTTAACAGAAAAAAATTGAACACGCATCAAGGCATGATATATCTGTATAATTTCAGCCAGTGCACAGACTCAAGAGTTCCATTCTGAAACAAGAAGTCTTTCTTTTCTTAAACACATTTTTTTCAGGAAAATTCACATTTATCTAAATCATTAGTTAAAAATGTATTTTGTACTCCACTGCTTTCAAAAGCTGTCACACAAACAGATACTGTCTTAACACACTTGCAAAAATGTACTGTTTTGAAACTGGTGCCTGTTCTCTGTATCAGTTAACAGTACACCATTTCTTACTAGTAACAAAAACAAATATCTATTTTAAAAACTAGAAGGCTTTATTCTAGCAATGATAACTGTTTTTGTTTTGGTTGCATTTTTTAATTACATTTTTAATTTGATTTTGTAACTAGTAACTAAACTGGTAATTAATAAATATGTGCATATGTACATTTATTTTAAATTTGCAGGTTTCTTATTCTCAATCCCACCTCTCAGACCAGCTTCTGCCTTCACAATAATGCTTAATCATGTTTTTTTGACAGAAACCATAAGCATTCCGAACTAAGACTAAGAACTAGATGTAAGTAACTGTAGACATTCAGGATCAGACTGGTTTCCTTAACACTGGAGTTTAACAATAAAAATAACCTCATGCAAATTGCTTTTCCAGACTCCCTTTAAGTCAATGGAGAGAATAGGGACTTCGAGTCCAATTCATCTGACCTGTTTCGGCCCAACTTGCACTGGGGTGAGACAGATCTCACTCCAGGAGCAGCTATTCCTCTCCTTTAACTACGAGACTACAGGCAGACGGACTCTATACTGTGAATGGCTGAGTTTGAAAGGGTGAATCTGACCACGCAATTGGATATTATAAACACACAGAGACTGAATTTGTGATCTCACCTTAAATCCAAGTTTGCAAGGAAATCAAACCTGAAATCTGCAACAGTGACCTGTGCTCCAAGCACTGCACACAAGGAGCTCACCTGACACCCTTTGGGCAAGGTCCCCTCTTGTATTCCTGTTCAACAAACAAAACCACAACACAACCATCCCCTTTGGCCACAGGTTCATTCTGATTTCTGCTTACCCAAGTGCTGAACCAGCTGAGCGTCCCAGGATGCCCTTGGCCAGCCAAGCACAGGTGGACACAGGAGCAAGAAGCAAGCATTGGCTGCAGAGCCAGCCTGAGGCCCAAGTACTCAGCTACATACCTTTCATCCTTCATACCCTTCCCTCCCTCATCACTCTCTCTCCCCTGTTCTGCCACTACTTTCAACCCACAGACATCAGAGGCAGCCTGCATGTATTTGTATTCATGCCTCTAAAAACAGAGGAAGACTGTGTGTATTTTAAGTGATCTGAACTGGCTGATCTTAGCTGATATTGCTGGCACAGCAGTGAATGTGCTCCAGGGAAAACATGTACCAAGGTATTTTATTAAGCGTCTCTGAGCAAAGTCTCTTCACTCTGTAGAGCAACAGCAATACTGAGAAGAGGTTATTAGCCAACCAAGAAGCAGAAAGCAGGTATTTATTTATTTCTTCTCTTGTAATGTCTTAAAGAACTCAGTAATCAAAGACTCAGCATGAGTACTTAACAGATGTAGAACAAATTTTGTTTTTCCTAAAGAGGCTACAAAATCTGCATTGTGCGTGTTGGAGTGAACACTGAGAGAGTTCCTGCTTCTACAATTACAAAGCGTTATCTTCCTGAAGAGAAACCAAAAAGGCTTCTGACATGAACAGGAAGGCACAAGGGTGGCCATGGGTAACTCACACTAGAACTCATAAGCTCATACTCCTCAAAGCCCTTAAAGGGAAAACATTCCAGAAACACTTTTGCAAGAATTTTAAACCAAATCCAGAAGGAAAACACTTACTGTTTATAATGGAATGCATCTTAGTAGTAGTGTAAAGTCAGGTATGGGAGTGAAACCAAAGTTCCACTTCAAATGAAAGTATTTATCAGTGTTTAGCCACACACATGTATCAAAGAGCACAACACGTAAAGGGAAGGTGGGATCTGTTTACAGATATATTTGGAGAGATGACAGGAACAAGACTTCCTACTGACTGTATATAATAATAATGAATTCCTTCCTTTTTTCAAATCTCTTTCAACATACAATGCAAAGCTTATTTTTCAACATGTCTCTAGCAATACTACTGACTTTCCTTTTCTTTTCCTCAGTTAGGTTTTCATCATGTCCTGGGAGATTCATTCTGGACCCCTGTGCACTTCTGGAACCAAGTGAACTATAGTAAAGTTCACTACAAAGTGAACTTTATAGCTTCTACTGTGAATAATAATAATATTATTAAAAAAAAAAAAAAAATCTTATCTAGATTTTGCATAACAAAATACAATGGTGTGGTGGAAACCAACCAAAAAAGCTTCCCCAAAACTCAGGGTCTGCAGATCTTCTCACAAATACTGCCATTTGTCTCCCTGGACTCTGCCTTACACACAGAAAAACACAGTTATTCTTCAAACATAATTAACCTTTGTTTTGTGCCAGGTGGCATTCAAACAGTGTCTTTGAAACTTGCATAGTACAAGGCTATCTATTAAGCAGTAGGGCTATGAAAGCTATTTTCAAGACAGAGACAGATAGTTAAGTAGTTTATAAACCTAAACATTACCATAACCAACAAACCATCAGCTTGCTATGCAAAACTTGCACACAGCTTCTAGCAAAGACCGTCCCTGTGAATGTTTCTGGGCTCAAATGCCACTGCACAACTACCCAGGTATTCACAATGCAAAGAAAGAAATTCACCGTAATTTTAATTGGAGAACTGTAAGACTAGCAAAACATTTTCAAAGTAATTTTATCTTCTATATTCTGTTTATCCATTAATGGAAGTGAATACACAATCTGTATGCACACTTCTCTTCATAATTTGAAGTTCTGAAGCATATGTGACTCATTTTGAATTTAATAGCTTTGCTGGTCACTGAAACAAGTGACGATTTATTTAAATAGATATTTAGAATGCAACAACAGTTTTGTTTGTTGGGTTTTGTTCCTTTCTTCCTTTCTTTTTCCAATAAACACTATAAAAAATCCAGTTTAAAAACAGCACAAATAACACTAATTGCCCATTATCATTTAGATAGATAAAAAATTGCAATAGCTCCTGCTTTTTGCTTCCCATAAAAATCTTATTAGTTATATTCTATCATCCTTCCTGTAAAATCGACATGCCAGATGCTCTACTTCAAGATAAGTGTACTGGAAAATTTTCTTTTTACTTTATCAACCTTTCTTTATTTTGAGCCTGTTCTATCAAATGCATGCAGTAAGGCTTCATTGTGAAACTGAAATAAAATAAAATAAAATAAAATAAAATACTGCTTTAACTATGAATTATGAAATTCTGGTCTTCGAGTCTGGCATCAGAAATGATCAGATGCAAATGGCCCAGATTCTGCTGCCTGGAACACCAACAAACAAAGGACACTGCTACAGCTGAATGTCTTATACCAGTTGCCCTGCTCTCAAATGATAATCTAAAATGCAAAGCAACATCAACAAAATTCAATAAATAGAATTATTCTTTGCAAACCATAATTAGCCATAGTTTTCAGAACACAGCAAAAAGATACTTGTTCTTTTCCAAAGGAAAGAAGGCTTCTCTGAGCAGCACACATGCACACCCCTGCAACTGCTGGT